ATATCATAGAATTCCACTATAATTTATCAAGCTTAGTAACTAAGATGTATTTTAGTCAAAAAAAATATTAAATTTAGAGCAGACTAACACCCTACGTCATTGAAATATTGGTTCAAAAGAAAGAAATGGTGCAAAGCTCATTAAAACAGCTGAGAGAGCCATTAAGGGGACATTCTGAGCTTCCGATTGGTTATTCATGTCATATATAGAAGTAAGTGTATATAAGGGACTGTTTCCAAAAATGGAAAGAGGTGCGTGGGGTGCCACTGTGTTTGATTTATTATGTGAGCAATATCTTAGCAAATTGAAAAGGCTCTTATTTTATATTCTATCTTGTCAATATTGGTAATTTGAGTTTATAATTCATACGAAACTATAGACTTAGTATTTTGACTTCACAAACATCTAATTTGAACCAGTGCTGCATTCAGCATACCACATGACACACAAAAATCGATGTTTATCTGTGTTTTAGTAATATTTGCTTTTAAATTATAGCTTTGCACAAAATTCAAAACAAACCGATCATCCTTTCAAAATGAAAACCAATTAAATCTATTATGTAAACAAAACTGAATATCTGAATTCATTACTTTTAATAGTAGCATACAGTACCTAGGATGGCAGTTATATTAAACTGTCTGATAGCTTTGTTGTGCACATTGAGAGTGTGCTGACATAGTACATGTTTAATTTGTTACGTATGTTTCTGGGTTTTTTGCATGTACGGTAGAAAGTAATGAACTGCAGATTTAACATATTTTATGCAATATTTGCACTGAATAATGGCAGAAAATATTTACAGTGCATTACTTGTGCATTTTGGGTAATCATTAATAACCACAACTGTAAAGTTTACATTGCCATCAGTGACCAAAGAATGTAATATATGAGTTAATAAAATACCTGCTACAAAAAAGTTAGAAAAGTTAAGAAATATAATTTCCTGATAATACAAAAAAAGAAAATAATGAAGAAGATATTTACATCAGTTTCAGCTTCCAACATGACAATACATTATTAGAAAAAATTTATAATGACAGGCAATTATTAAAAGTAATTGCAAAATGTATTATTATTTTTTGTGTGAGAAAGACAAAATGTACACAACTTTGCTATTGGTATATTTCCATTGTAGAGAAAGATTACCCTCCGACAGCTAATGCTGGATCAGATGTTGTCATTTACCTTCCCCGAGATCAAGTGACACTAAATGGGAACCTCAGCAGTGATGACAAAGACATTAAAAGCTACCAATGGATGAAGAGTCCAGAAATAGACAAGTCTGTGGACATGGAGGTATAAAGTGAATGTGAACTTATGTAAAACTATTACTTAGAAAAATTTTGAGACAGATGAGTTAGTAGTATAGAGGTGCATTTATTGAGTCAGAAATTTGTCATGTGCTATAAGTGTTTAGTTAGTTTGAAAAGAGAACAACAGTTATTAATCCCATAAAGTCTAGTGAGTAAGACAGTGAGTGAAGGTTCAGTTATATATTGTAGTATGCTTAGTTTTTAGATACAGTGGAGTTCTTAGGTATACAATTCTGTGAAGTTCAGTTTTGTACACTTGATGATATTAACATATTTTAGATAGACATGACAATGTTTGGTCATATATATATATATATATATATTGTGGTTGCTATTTTTTCTACTCAAAATCTTGCTATCTGGTAGAGCTGGACAGTTACTTGTAAGCAATTACGTTAGTGCCCTGTAAAATAATTAATTAATGAAGATTAGTGTTTCAAACTGCTACTGATTTTGATTATTCCAGCTATTCAAGGAATCAAAGTATCCTCACTATTTTTGATTAATTCAAAGTTGTTTAGCTTAATTAATTAGTGTCTTAACTCATGAAAATAATCAACAAATTAAAATTAGTATTTTCAATTATTACTATTTTCAATTATTCAAACTATCCATGTCTCATGTGAGAATAATTGATTAGTTGAATGTAATAGTAAACTTGACAATTAATCGATTATCAAATTTCACTAATTGCCCAGCTCTATTATCTGGATAAACTAATGATTTGATTAAAGGTTCAATCTTGCATATATGTTAGTTGTGTACTGATATACTTTTTAAAAATCATTAATAATATTTAAGAGGTACTGACTGCACTTCATAGATAACTGGTTCTGTGTACTAATAGTAAAGGATTCAGGGTTAAATCATGTATTACTAATAATTGAATGTTTTTGGCAACTTATAATTTTTGCAGCTAACTTTAAGGTATTTCTCAGATAGAAAACATGTGAGTGCTGAAGTCTTTGAGTCACAGTGTAAACAAACACGCTTAAAACTTGGAAACACTATGTAAAGTTGTCTTTCATTTGCTTTGGTTTCCACTATTAACACTGTTTTATTCTTTAGGTTGATACACTTGTAGCTGCAACTCATCAGGTCACCACCAAAAAATCTGCATTTGCATTTCTAGAACACTATTAATACATCTTTCTGTGTATCTCAAGTTAATCATAAGTAAAATTCTGCATCTCTAGATTACCATCAGTAAAACTCTATGTATAATTCCAAGTTACTATCAGTAAAATGGTTTTCATAATTACAGATTACTATAAGTAAACTTTGTTTAATACAATGTTGTCATCAATATAACTGTTTATAATTTCAAAATAATGTTAATACAATTCCAGATTGGCATCTGCAAACTTGTATAATTCTGGGTTACTACTAGTAAAGAAAAAATCTGTTCATATAATTTCAGTATTTAGTCAAGTTGCAATATACTATGTACATTTTCTTATTTCTCCAGTTAGCCATTAGTAAAACTGTTTGTTCTTCATCAGGGTACTAGTAGCCCGTACCTTCATCTATCTCACTTGGAAGTTGGGGTTTACAAGTTTATTTTGAAAGTGACAGACACATCTGACCAAACAGCTGAAGCAGAAGTTCACGTGTTTGTTAAACCAGAAAGTAATATTCCTCCAAAAGCAGTTGCTGGTGAAGATATTAGGGTATCATTACCATTAGATGGACCAGTTCTCCTTAATGGGAAATTAAGCTCTGATGATATAGGAATCACAACTTGGAACTGGAAACAGATAGAGTAAGTTTCAACTTTTTATAATGTGAAATCATTATTTCTTTCCTGTTGTTGTATCAAACATTGCACAAAAAAGACCTGACTTTACTTACATAATTCCCCAGTGGCAAATTAATCATTAATGTATGAGATCTTGAAGTTAAGTGCATAAAATGTGTGATGTAAACATTTTTATAATTAACCAATGCCAATAAAATAAAACAGAAAGAAAGCATGGCTTATCCCTTGACATTTAATGTTTGTTTTTACAATTTTTATTCACATCTTAAAGCCCTTTAAAAGGGTTTGCTAATCTGTCTTTTACACTTCCAAGCTTGTAAATAATTGTTTAAACTTTGTAGCTTAGTTAAATTGTGATTTTTTTTTCTTAATTTTCCCAACTCTAATGGAAATAATTGCCTGGGACAGACACCTCAGTGACCTTTGACTTGTTCCTATAGCAGGTGGTAATTTGGCACAAAACATACCTGTTACAGGTAAACAGTACAAGTTCTGTTAGGTTTCACTGTAACTTGCATGCATCACTGTAAAAATAATGACATATGACTGGATCCTGTATTGGATGGTAATTGGCACAAAAACATATATATATGACAGATAAATTGTGCATGTTGTGCTAAGTTTAGTTTTTATGTACATGTGACCTTATAAAATTAATGACATGTGACAGTTGTAATTTCCATAGACACATGCTCATGTCAGGAAAGTTCTCTTAAGTTTCACTTAAATGTGGCCTTGTGAAAGTAAAGGTATGTGACTAGAACATGTATTAGGTGAAAACTTAGAACAGATTTATCCATGTAACTGGTAATCTGTAGCTATTATATGCTTTTAAGTTCTGTTCTCACTAGGTATTTGGTCTAGTTGTAAGATGTTCTGTTTGTACATATTTCATCTACTAGTAACTAACTGTTACAAATGAGAAGTATCTGTTCTGATATCGTACATTACCTTCACTCATATAAATATCTATTCTCGTTCAGTGCTGCCCTCTATATACAAAAAAATTTTATGCTTGCCACAAGCCTTTTATCTCCCCTACATTGGAATTGACTGATTCCAATGTGTTTCTCATGCAAATCATCATGTGTCAACCCTCCACTAATAAGAGTGTGACATACTCTCATGATGCATGTGATTCCCTTTATTCAATTCTACCAAACTATCACTTCTTGTTTGGCAGTACTTATGTTCAGACCCTTTTTTTTTATGTGCTCATCATGTGAATCGTTTTCGTTATTTTCATAGTTTAATTTCCAAAGTGGGATTTCTTCATTGCTTGTTTTTTCTTTGCATTGAAGAAATCTTTTAATTTAACTTAATTTCCCAGTCTTAATTTTTTATCACATGCATATTTTACATCAAACATTTTTGTTTAATTTATGTATTTTTACAATGAATTCTGAGGCTCGTGTTTCCACTTCAGGTGTAATACCTCTAGCACTATTTTCACAGGCTGCAGGTGGAGGAGACTTGTCATTAGATTTCTCTGCTATTATCCGCTGGCAGATTGTTATATGGGTCAACCTCCTTCTCCTGTACTTGCAGTACTAATCCTCCTGAACAAGTTGAACCTGTTTAAGCTTTTTTACACCATCAGATTTTGCCATGTCTTTCCCTACCCCTTCTGCAGAATCAGCTTGGCCAAATATGGCATTTTTCGACATGATTTCTCAAATATGTGATGTTTTATCCAATTCCCTGTTTTTCTATGATTCCTTATTACCTCCATGTTGGCTCATTTGTCATCTTCGGCTCTTGCTTTACACACATGGTCTCACTGTTGTTGGGATCTGGGTCACGATGTGACCTTGTCCTGAGTTCATTTGCTGCCACTTTCTTTTAGAGATTTACTTACAGCCCTTTTTTCTTTGCCAATATATTTTCGATCATGTATCTGAGACTTTGGAATCACGTGTGACATCTGTGCATCAACACACTACCCTTTCCTCTTTGGTTGCATGTTTGTCGCAGTTGCAGCTATGACAAGCCGCTGTTCTTTTCCTCTTCTTATCCTTATCTACCGTTCCCTGTTCCTCCTTCCAGAGGTTTCTCATCTCTTTATCAGATGGACTTTCCCCACTTCCTTTGTCTCAGTACTATTTTCTTTCTCCATGACTTGGGATCCTACCACCAGCCAGTGTCTGTCTGAGGTGGTACATGATTTTTCTCACCACAGGTCATTGCACCTGTTTATCATCTTTTTCCAGGCTGTTTGTTGTCTTCACGACAAACCAGAGACTCGTGGCTTGTATTAGGTTTGTCCCACCTCAATCTAATTTGCAATCTGCCCCATTTTACCTTGGAGTTGTTTCTCACCCTTAGGTGGGCTTTTTCTCCAGGTTTATAGATGGCAGAGGAATGTCATGAACAGTTATTTGCATATCCCAATATCTCATCACTTGGGATCCTTTCTTCGGTTTGTTCTCCATAGCGTGGTTTATCTGTTTTTGCACACTGCCATTTCGACTTGCTTTGGCCCACTATGTTTTGTCGGGCAATCAAAGCATTCGTTCATTACTTACATGCTCTCAGGTTACACTTTTCTCTTTCTTTGGATGACTGGCTACTGTTAGCTCGTTCCAAACAGAAGTCCACCTGTTACACTTATCAAATGCTTCTGGGGGTGTCTATAGTGGGCTGGTTAATCAAGTTGGAAAAGTCTTTACTGTGATCAATCCAATATCTTGTCCATTTTGGTGTTTTTCTTTTTCAACACCCATATTAGTAGGACCCACCCTTTTCCTCTTTGACTTCGTTTGATGGGTTTTCAGTTCTAATACAGCTCTTGAGGTTCTATCACTTTTGGGGATGTGATCTTCCATGGTAGCATTATCCCCTTAGGTCAGGCTCATATGCGGGCTCTTTCTTGGGCTCTTCACAACCAATGGAATCTTGCAAGGGATCCTTTGTTGGCTCTTATTACCCTTCTTCCTATCATTCTCAATGATCAATGTTGGTGGTTAGACACGATTCACAAGTTGGCAGGTGTCCCGCTTCCTCCTCCTAGTTCAAATTGACACATTTCTTGGATGCATCCCTTTGGGGATGGGGAACTTGGGTTGATCAACAGGAAGATTCAAGGTTTTGGTCTGTGACCGAGAGGTTTTCTCCATCTGGCCAGAAATCATCAGGTAATGATCCATTCTGACTTTTATTCAGTGGTTGCTTATCTCAGTCACCCTGACAGCACCCATTCTTGATCCTTTTGTATTCATATGTTGGATCTTCTTTTTGGGCCCACACGCTCGATATTGATATCATTGCATGTCATGGTCTGGGTGCTTTCACTCTTGTCACAGATCGGATTCCTGTCATGACAAAATCTATCCAACAGAGTGTTCTCTTGATCCTCTTGTTTTCCAGTGGCTTTGACTTCATTGGGTAGTCCTCAGATTCAGGTTTTTGCTTTGCTCCTTTACCACAAATTGTCTTGGTTTTGGTCTCCTCTCCATTGTCTTCTTGCTCTGGCTATCAATGTTTTCAGCCAAGATTGGACCAACAGATTTGTTTATCATCCTCTTCTCCCTTTTTCTCCAGATGATTTTGATCATCCTCTACACTCCTCTTTCAGTCCTTCTGATAGCACCTTCCAGGCCATCTCAGTTGTGGTTTCCATGGCTTCTCCAGCTCCAACTTCCTCCTCCATTACCTCTTTCTCTGACTGTCTCTTCTTTGCCACCCTCAATCACTGGTGTTTCGTCTGGACCTTCTTGTCCTGTGTCTTCCCACCTGGTTTTCCCTCTTATTATTTGCGAGGAGATCCAGCTACTCCCAATGGTTAGCATCTTTTGTGGCTTTTTCCTTTGAACTTCCTACATGGAACTTTCTCACTGCAAATGGAACATTTTCCATCAGTAGTTTCTGGGTCCAGGGTTTTCCCCTGATCAGCCCACTGTTCTTCATCATGTGAATTTTCTTATTTGACTTTTGTATCGGGGGGTCTTCTGTCCCCTCAATCTTGGATTTTCAGGCAGCCATGTCCCACACCTTTAATTTTTCCTGATCCTGCAGGTATTTACCTCTCTTACACTTTACCTGTTGATGTGTTCCTTCTGGATTCGTCATTTGTCACAGTGGATATTGGGGATATTGATGTGGTCCTGCTCTGTCCCAGTTTGCCTACATTTGACCCACTCTCCCAGTGCTCCTTGTTTCAACTTTTCTTATGTTTTTCTTCCTTCTGTTCGCCTGTGGACATCAGTGGTCTGTTTATTTGCCATCGATGTTTCACATACTCTTTATCCTTCAATATATCTTCTCCTTTCTCTGGAACATTTTTCATCCCTAACTCTTTGGTGGCTCTCGAGGATAACTCCTCCATTTAGCTGCTTTCTCTTCTGTCTGTTTCACACCTTTATCGTCAGCCTGATCTGGATAGACTTATGTTCTGTATGTGCTCTTCTTTGTTATATTGCCCACATGGCTTCCTTCTGTGGTGTCTGTTCTCACCCTTTTCTTCCTTGGCAGCCATCCTCTGTTTGCGATCTTTCTCCTTCCACCTTTGCTAGTTGGGTTCAACTCTTAATTTGATTGGCTTTTTCCTCTTTATCATCTTCCTCTCGTAATTTGTTCCTGGTGTCTTCTCATCCAATTCAAAGATGTTGTATATATGGGCACAAAATCGGAGGAGCACATCCAAGTGGGAGAGAACTAAGGTTGGATTGTGATCCAAGTCATATAATAGTTATGCAACTCTTATCCCAGAAAATATAAAACTGGGTAAAATTAAAAGAATGTGTCCTAGGTGTAGAGTGGCTAGGGCACGACAGATCATACACAGCAAGTCAACTACAATCCAAAACCCAGCCATCTGGTGGGGGTAAGAAAGAGGATCATACTGTCTTTACCTCAAGTTCAAAAGTCCAGAGGGAATCAAGAACCCCCAGACCCATGAATGGGGTACATTGATAGATCGATCCAGGAGCCTGACATCTGGTATTGAAAAGATGTCTGCATAATGCAAATCATCTCCCTCAAAAGCAAAAGTGACCAGAACTGCC